GTGAATTAAGTCATACGTAGTATATGATATGTTGATGTTTTAGGATGTTTTTACTTGGACTGTAATTTGCTGGTCTGATCTGGTCTGGTTTGGTTTCTTTGTATTTTTATAACTATCCAAGTCTGGTCTGTTCTGAACTGGTCTGGGAGGAATTAAAATCCAAGTAAAAACATCCTTAGTTGCAAACTATCTTTCGAAATACTCTTGGATGATTTTTCTAAGCATCCCAGGCTGGACTCGTGCTAATAGGAGTAATTGTATACAAATATATGTTTAACTTTTTTTCATTTTTATCAACTTCAGTGTGTATAACTTGTTATGCATTATGACCATTTTCAGATATACTTCTCGGTTATGGTTAGGGCTCTTTAATCTATTTTTTCAAAAAAAAAACAGAATTTAATGTGTGAATCAAGGCTAAACAGAGAAGAATATGTCTAACGAGCATAAAATCAAACACGTCATAGAAGACCACCTTTTATTCCAAGAAGTCCATCCAAAAACCTATATGCAAATCAATCGCAGAACTCAAATATAATTTATTAATTTTAAAACTTACAAGATTTTTTTTGAAAGTGACTGCGCAAAAATGACAATATGAATTTAGACAAGTGATTAAAATATCAATTGAAAATTAGCACACAACAATTTGGACATCATGAACACAAGTAAAATGGGATAACTAAAAATAGATGCAAGTGTGTGTCCTGGCATTGAGGCCAAAAACAAAGGACCGGCAATGCCTATCAACAACTTCAAATTCAGAATAAGACGATGGTTTTACCTGAAATCAGTGTTGAAATATAGTGTTATTAAAAGGTGCAATGTGAAAATTAAATAACTAATGTGAATAAGGCTTGGATAGTAGTATCGATTATGTGGTAGAAGGTCTTATAAGCATACCATTGCCAGGTTTTTGGCAGTGTCGTTCCGGAAAAAAGTAACTTTGAATTATCTTCATCTTGTAAGCTTGTCTATGTAGAGCAACTAAATGCTTTTCACACGTGATTGCCAAAATATAATGTGTCCTCTTAGCCAATTCCTTCCTTTTGGTGAACCACTTTTGTATCATTTCCCTAAGAAATGTTGACATTGTTCATTGATTCAACACAATTAGAAGTCATTACATCATATCTCCTAGCCCCACACTTGAACTTTGCCCACTCTTCAATGCCAATATTTTCTAACCAAGTGAGAATACGACCATCTTATGCTTCCAACATGGACATATTTCCTCGAATTCCTCGACACTTGTAGCCATATATGCAATCCCAAACTTTCACCCTAAATCTTTAGCACAACCCCTAAACTTTGAAGTATGCTGAAGGTGCTCCACACAAAATACATGAATGGCATGAGGTAAAATCTCTCTAGCATCACTGAGTATGCCTTTGTGTCTATATGATACAACACACATGTCAGTGTGTGTGAACTATGCCCATATCAACAGTCAAATGACTCTAAGAATAATAGACAGAATTTATGCATTAGAAGAGAAATTCATCAACAACACATACCGTATATTCATAATGATGGAACGATGATGAACAATACACGGACAGAATGTTGAGAGAGAATTTATCTATCTAGGTGCTCTACGAAAATATTATAATGTGGAACAGAATGTGTAGAGACTTCGAGTTGTTTCGAACCATGTCAGCCTGTATTTATAGGGAGAGATTCGAAACACCCTATTACAATAAGTATTCAGAGTGGACCGTGCGTGTGGGCTATGTAAAGCAATTAATTAAGGCCTGATTCTCTATCAACTAATCCTACTAATACAAAGACTTGTAAAATAAATTACAATTACAATTAATTTTGAACACAATTAAATAATGATCTAACATAGTGGCAAATGTTAAAGATTCACGCACTTTGGAAAGAACAAATTCCAGGAGGATTTGGATTCAGAATCACAAATGCCAAAAGCTAAAGGGACAATTTGGTCGTTAGCGGCAGTGTCCAGCGGTGGCAATCGGCAACGGTGCTGGTTGGGTAAGGCAGTGGTCACTGTCCAGGGTACTGTTGGTCACTGGGCGACGGTGGACATTGATCACTAGATGGGCGGATGTGATCACTGGATGGACGGACGTTGGTCACTAGGCAGAAGTCACTAGCTTAATTGGTCACTGTGCGAAAGTCATGGGCGGACGGTGGTCACTTAGCGGGAGTCACTGTGTCAATTGGTCATTAGGCGGGAGTCATTGTGTTAATTGATCATTGAGCGAAAGTCACTGTAGGGTTGGTCAATGTAGCGGGTCACTTGGTTTAATAACGGTGAAGTGGCCCATTTACTCTTTCTTAGCCACATTTTTGAAAGTTAAAACAAGAGGTCACTTTTTGCTCATTTTCTTTTTTTTTTTTCATTAATATGAATGGGAAAACCCCGTAAGTTAAAACTTCATTGCAAAATATGTGAATGTGAATTTAATAATTGAATCTCTTACAATTGAATTCTAATTGGAATGCACTATATTTTATTAAAAATAGTACTAAAGTAGATTTCATGTCTTGAAAATATAGGAGACGTGATGTTTAGTCGAGAATATGAAAAACCGGTACAATTAATTAAATGAGTAATTATCTTACGTGTTTCATGAAAAAATGACTGATAATGTTGATAAGCTGAAAATCAAGATTACAAAACGGTTCTCTACTGTATTCTATTTTTAATCATCACTAAAAGAGAGGTAAATACCTTTGTAGTATTGTTTTTCATATTGTAGTTTCATATTCATAATTCATTGACTTTGTCACACAAATATACTACGTATCAAGTAATATAAATAATTAATACACATTTTTTCTAATTGAAAATTCATCAACTTGAAATAAATATTGATCTCCAATCGTTGAGATTACCAACCAATCCTCCTAGTCATTCGTCTATTAAAAACAAATGGCTGGAGCAAAAATGAAATAAAATAGAAAACCTAGAAATTTGGGGCAAAATCTGAAAAATGTAAAGTTTAAAACTTTAAATGATTGAACTTAATAATAAAATTAAGTAGAAACAGATTTCAATCGAAAAATACGCTACTTCATTAGCACTAAATCAATTTCAATCGAAAGTTTACTTTTATTTGTGTAGTTCCCCTTGTTTTAGATATAGGTTTTCATAATTAATACTACGTATATAAAGCTAATTTCTTCCAAAAAAAAATTAAGCCAATTCAATGGTTTGGAATAAAATTTAATCAGTTTTAAGTTTCAACAAATTATGAACTCAGCCAAATTGAATGCTACCAAACTCAGCACTTAACTTATTTGATTTCTCCCTAAAACTCAGTAATCAATTATGATTGGATGGGAGTTGGTATTAATATACTCCTTATTATATTATACTTTCTCCGTCTTTTAAAACTTTGTCAACTTTCCATTTTTAGCTATCCCACTAATTTTGTCACTTTCTTTTTTAAGTAATGAATCTGTGGTTCCAATTAATTCTCTCTCTTCCGCACAAAATCTATACAACACAATTTTTACATTATTAATCTCCGTGTCGGTCAAACTTGAAAAAGTTTTAAGGGAAGGAGTTAATATTCATTATTATCGCTTTAAATTTTAGTTTTAAATAGTCAATCAAATAAAATACTCCCTCCGTCCCGAAATTATCTTCATTCTTTCCTTTTCGTTCCGTCCCAAATTTATCTCCTCTTTCCCTTTTTGATAAAGAATATGTGGTTCACAATCATTCTTACACATTTCTCTCTCCTCTGCACAACTCTCCACCACACAAATTCCACTATCTTAATCTCCGTGCCCAGTCAACACCGAAATTAATTATGGGACGGAGGGAGTACATGGAGAGGGACCTATGAGTGACGAAGGTGGTAGAATCACAGTAATGTTTGTCTGTTGGTTGGTCTATTTATTTACGGAGTACGGAGTATTCATTTCCGGGGGCGCTGAAGTTGCAGCACCTAGGTTTCGCCGTGATGGGCCGGTCGCTATTATACTTGGGCCGACAACGGGAGATGGTCATAGCCATTTCGGCATTTCATTGCCTCAACTCATCAAGTACTATACCAGAGTTTGTATTTGTCGACTATTGTGTTAGTCATGTGCTCATGTTTATGGAATTAAATCTTAATTCTTTTCGCTCATGGGCGATACTAGGCAAGAGGATGAGGATCCACCACCCTACACCCACAAAATCAATAAATATTACTCCCTCACTCTACGGGCCCGTTTGGATAATGACGGTTGCTACAAAACGTTGCTTTTTATGCTACATTCGTCCTGTTTGAAGGTTTTCATAGTAAAATGGCACGGTTATTTAAGTAATAATTAAATAAAGTATTTCAAGTATGTTTTGACAAATAATTTTAATAGGTATATATTATAATGTAGTTAGTATTGATAAATGTGATGTTATAAATGTATTATTTTTAATATTTAATAATTAATTTGTCACTTAAGATTGTTAATTGTTTCCTAAAATGGAAATGATAATCTTTGTATGGGATGTCCAAAAAATGAATGCGAGAACCTTCTAAGAGCATCTCCAATGCTATAATGTGCACGGTGCACATGTGGTCTGAGAGATAACTACATAAATATTAATAAATAAATTCTTTATCTCCTTATTTGAATGTTTTTATGCAGTTTTGGTAAGTTTTTCTCCACAATGTCAAGGAGATCGTCTAGATGTTGACATTGCAGGGGAAAACTTACCAAAATTGTATAAAATCATTCAAATGAGGAGAGAGATAATTTATTTGTTAATATTTATGTGGTTATCTTTCATGCCACATGTGCACTGTGCACACTATAACATTTTCTAATTTTTACAAACAAATGTTACAATCTTATGCATAAACGTAACAGTTTTTGAATAATGTAACATCTTTAATGTTGTAACACAAATAATGTAACACTTCCTGAATAAATAAACGCACACGCACTAATACCTAGTATATAATTGCCGCCACCGTAAAAAAAGACCGCCAATTTTTTAGCCTTAGGCATCTTTTTCCCGCACACGTCGTAATGGAGTATCCAAATCAAAACAAAAAACCCTGATACACATATAAAAACAGACCGCACGCACTGATACAAAAAAACCCTCTTCCAATTCTCCAGGTTCTTCCACATCTAATTCTTCCGCATCTATCTCCTCTAATCTCCAATCGACGGTTCTTTCTTGCACCTTAGCCACCTCTGCAGATACTCCATGTTCTAAGGTAATTGCTCATTTCATTAATTGTTGCTTTTATTGATTGACATTTGAGGAGCTTGATGCTTTTAAGTTGTGGTGCTATATTACTAGTTAACAAGAATTTAATCAATGCAGAATAATGTCTAAAAGCTTAATGGTTAAAATAAAGGAATTGATATATGTAGTTGCATAAATGGTTGAATTTGGGGTTGCCGAGAATAGTAGTGTGAAAGAAGAATTGTTAAAACAAAAGAAGTTAGTATTTATCATTGAAGACTGATTAAATTTGGTTAACATTATTTTTTTATTAATTTGATTTATCATTATGCCTTGGAATTGAATTAGGAGAATTGAAATTGTTTGGGTGTTTAGTTCTTACTACTTAATTAATTATTCCAACTAATTTGAGTTTGACTAATTTGAATTTGCAAGATTTCTTTGGCTGTCTTGCACTTCTTTATTCTGTTGAAGTATCTGTCATTAATGGACTTGTAGAGAATGTCCTTAACAATGTTGTCCAGATTGTACTTTCTCCTCTCTTCGGTGGTCCATTCAGATTTGGCTTTGTTGATCATCTGAGGCTTCGTGTTGTCAATGGCATGCTCAGGGTTCACCTTCTGGAAGTTGGTGAATGGCCCTATGTCAAGCACTTCTCACATCTCATCATGAAGTGCACAAAGATGTGCCTTCATCCGGATCCTCTAATCATCAAATTTAAGATCTGAAAACATAAGATTCTTGGAAAGAGAGTGATCCATAATATGAGATTAAACAGAGGCAGAGAAAACAAGTGAATCTTTGTTCAACAGGTAACCTAAAAGATTACAAGAACAAGGAGGCTCTGATACCACTTGTTGGTCCCGGTTGAACTGGGTACAGTCTAGAGAGGGGGGGGAAGGTGAATAGACTGTACTAGTTTTAACTTTTTCAAGCTAAGTACCAGATTTAACAGAATAGTCTGTTCTGTTGATAGAACAGACTGGCAGCGGATGGTCTTCTGGTAGGGGTTCTGTCCGGTTAGCCTCTAAGAGATGCAAAGGCGGTAGGCCTTCTATTAACTCACAGGAGGGGTTCTGCCGAACACAGAGTCCCAATTTCTAGGGTTAATCAGTTAAAGTTAAATGCAAGAAATAAAAGCAGTAAGTAAATGACACCAGGGATTTTTATAGTGGTTCAAGGAACAACTCGTTCCTCTAATCCACTGTTCCACTAAGCTTGTAAAAATCCAATTACACAGCCTTAGCCCTAGCACTTAAGAAGCTCTCCACGTCTTTTTCAAGTGTAGATGTCTCCTGGGATGCACTTCCTTGCTTCCTTTAACACTGGTCCTTTCACTGAGCTTTCTTGAACTATCACCACTTCACTACTCCAGTTATTTGGACATCCTTCTCGTAAGAGAAGAGTTCTGTGAGAACAGAGGTTTTCCAACTAGCTTCGTTACAAAGATTTGTTGTTGAAGTGCTTGAAGTGTTGAAGAACAGTTGGAACGATTTTTCTTACGTTGGAAAGAAAAGATATTGAGGTTATAATCTTTTCCAACGTATGAGAATGTTGCTCGTGAAGAATGAGAGATGAAGTCTTTGAGCGTTTGAATAAATTTCTTTTAGTAGTGTCGTCGTTCTCTTATTCTTCGAAGTGTATCTCTTATACTGAGGTTGTCTTCCCGTTGGAGGAGGAGGACAACTGCATTAAATGCGCGTACAGCTGACTTGACCAGTAGGACCCAGGAAAGTTGGCGAGTTGCTATTTTGGGATAAAGCTATCCTGAAATATCCTAGAATGTCGGCCAATCATCAGCTTTTACTCTTCAGGGTACGGGGTGCATTAAATGTGCATTTAATGCACGTACTGTAGCTTTTCCGTTGAAGTCTTCTAGCCGTTGAAGGAATCTTCCGTTGGTTTCACCGACAAAAGCAGTTCCATGAAAATTCTCTAAGTGGCAGACCTTCTGGTGTCTTCAGTAGAGGGTTTACCAGAGAAGGTCTCGAGCACTTCTGTTGGAATAGCTACCAGAGGATCCTTAGGTCTTCTATCAAGGAGTGAACCAACAGAGAGTCTTGACAGATTCTGTCAAAGTGAAGTCCAATAGATAACCAGGGGAGGTCTTCTGTCAACAGAGAGCCAATGCTCTTCTGTCTGGACTATGTCTATCAGGAGGTCTTCTGTCAGGGGGGTCTTCTGTCAGTCGACTATTCTAAGAAACTTTACAAGGGAAAAAAATTCTAATACAAATTATTAATAAGGGGGTACTCTAAGATCCTGATAAATATAGCATCATCAAAATCTAATTACAATTATTCCTTACAACTGTATTTTTGGAAAGCAAACCAGACATTCCTTTGGTAATTCTACTTATATTGCTTCTAAACCCCTAGAATTAGTTCATGCTGATTTATGGGGGCCTTCTAAAGTTGGAACAATAGGAGGAAGGGAATACTTTGTTTTTGAAAATTTTAAGAATTGGAAGAGCTTGGTTGAATCTCAAACTAATTTTAAACTGAAGTCTTTGAAGACTGACAATGGACTTGAATTTTGCAATACTATTTTCAATGATTTTTGCAAAACTAATGGGGTTAAAAGGCTTTTAACTGTCCCTGGAACCCCTCAGCAGAATGGTACTGCTGAGAGGATGAACCGAACCCTACTTGAAAAAGCTAGGTGCATGTTATTTGAATCTGGTCTTAAGAATTCTATGTGGGGTGAGGCTGTTGTAACTGCTGCTTACTTGATAAACAGATCACCATCTTCTGTGGTGAACTTCAAGACTCCACAAGAGATGTGGTATGGAATCAAACCTAACATCACTCATTTGAGACCCTTTGGGTGCACTGCCTATGCGTATGTGTCCCAAGGTAAGTTGGAACCTAGGGCAATCAAATGTGTAATGATAGGTTATCCTGAGGGTGTTAAAGGTTATAAGCTCTTAGTTATCCAACCAGGGGCTTATAAATGTCTTGTATCCAGAGATGTTGTGTTTAATGAAGTTGAATTCTATTATAAGAAAACTAACACTCCTTCAAGTGACTTGACAGGTGATTCTGATGGAAACTTTTTTGATCCTCTGGAAAGATGATCTGTCTGATGAGGATTCTGACAGTGGAGTTTTCCACAATGTCAATGATGATCATTCATTGTCGGGAATGATTTGAATGATACATCTGAAGGTAACGTGAATCCTAATCATAATACAGATCAACAAGGTAATACCCCCCCTCCCCCTCACTCAATGACTCTGAAAATCTTCATGATGTTCATGTTCAAAATGATATGCATATGTCTGATTCTTTAGATGCTTCATCAAATGAAAATTCTAATGACTTTGTTGAACCAAACTTAGCTGATTATCAACTAATAAGAGATAGAGAACCTAGGACAATTATTCCTAATAGAAGATATATGTCAAACCTTGGTGAGTTTGTGTTGCTAGCTTCGGAAGTAGTTAAAAACTATGTTCCTGATACCTTTGAACAAGCTGTTAAAAGTTCTAAGTCAAATGATTGGTTTAAGACAATGAACGAAGAAATGCAGTCCATGTTTGCAAATCAAACATGGTCTCTGGTCTCTAAACCTAAGGGTGTTAAAGTCGTAGATTGTAGATGGATTTATAGGATGAAAGATAGTCTTGATCCCACTGAACTACCTAAGTTTAAGGTTAGGCTAGTTGCAAAAGGTTTTAAACAAAAACAAGGGATTGATTACCAAGATATTTTTGCTCTTGTAGTTAAATTCAAAACTTTAAGACTTTTACTTGCCATGACCACTGTTTTTGACTGGGAACTTGAACAAATGGATGTAAAAATTGCCTTTTTACATGGAGACATTAATGAAACCATTTATATTTCTCAACCACCTGGTTTTATTTGCAAAAATAAACCTGATCATGTCTGCTTGCTTAAGAAATCAATTTATGGATTAAAACAGTCTCCAAGACAGTGGAACTTGAAATTTAATGCCTGCATGTGTGAATTGGGATTTCTTAGAAGCAAATATGATACTTGTCTGTACTTTAAGCATGTGGGTACTGAAAATGCATTGTATGTTCTGCTTTATGTTGATTAGGGGTGGGAAAAACCGACCCGAAACCCGAAAATCGACCCAGGCTCGGACCGAAAAATGTTACCGGGCCGGGTTTTTTTATTTTTGACGGGCCGGTTAAAAAAAACCCGGACCGAACCTGAAATTCCGGGCCCTAAAAATTACAACCTGGCCCGGACCGGCCAAAATCCGACCCGAATATTTCATTATAATTTATTATAAAAAATTAAGATATTCTATGGAAACAAGTCCAAATACTCACTTGGGGTCTTCTAATTTGCTTTGTTTCTGAATCCATCTTAAAGAGAAACATCATTTTGTCAGAACTTTGTTCTCTTTAGTTTGAATTTTTGCTGTTGGGATTTTGCTAGTATTTATGTTTGGCTCTTCATGAGTGTTTTGGATCAATACTTTTTTGTGCTTGAAATATCGTTGCTTTATAGCCTTTGAATTATTGATTAAATAGTTTTGCTTTGACTATAATAGAAAGTGAGAATGTTGAATCGTTTTGATTGATTATCGAACATTTTTTTGAATACTTTTTTTAATAAAAAAATGATATTTTTTTATTGGGCTTTAACCGACCCTACCCGAACCCGGACCGAACTCGAGCCTCAAAAAACCCGGCTCGGACCAAATATGTCGGGCTTTTTTCCGGTCCCATTTCTTCATAACCCGAGAAGTTTCGCATAATTTCCGGGTAGAGCAAAAACCCGACCCAGCCCGGACCGATCCCACCCCTAATGTTGATGATATCCTTCTTATTGGTTCTTGTAAAAATGCTGATTGTAAGTGTGAAAAATGATCTTAAATTGCATTTTCATATGAAGGATATTGGCACTACTAAAAGAATTTTAGGAATTGACATATTAAGGAACATATCTTAAAGAAGCATGTTCTTATCTCAATGTGATTATCTTTCTAAGATATTAGATAAGTTTAATATGTCTAATTCAAAAATGACACCTATTCCTTTAGGAGGGCATTTAGAATTACATAAAGATCCTTATCCTATATCTTTGGAAGAATCTCAGAAAATGAAAAATATGATTTATGATGTTGCTTCTGGATCACTGATGTATGCTATGCTTTGTACTAGACCTGACTTGGCTTTTACTGTAAGTGTTCTTAGCAGGTTTATGTCTGACCTTAGGGAAAACATTGGACTGCTATGAAATATACTTTGAGATACCTTTCTGGGACTAGAAATTTAGGACTAAAGTACAGTTCCGACAAATCTTTAGACCTTAGAGGTTTTGTAGATGCTGACTATGCACGGTGTAAAGACTCGAGGAAGTCTACTACTTCCTGGTTCTTTACATGGGCTGGAAATTGTATTTCCTGGAAGTTCCAATTGCAATCTGTTGTACCCCTGTCATCCAGAGAGGCTGAATACATTGCAGCCACTGAAGCTATTAAAGAAGCCAAATGGCTTAAGGGTGTTCTGAGTGAAGTCTTAGGAAAAAATGTAACCCCTGTTGTTTTTTCTGATAGTCAGAGTGCCATCTATCTTTGTAAACATCCCATGTATCATGAAAAAACTAAACACATAGATGTTAGATTTCATTATATAAGGGATGAAATTCCTAAGGGAAATGTTTCTATTGAAAAGATAACTGGAGATGTTGATCCTGCTGATTTTGGTACTAAAATTGTCCAAACTGATAAGTTCTTGTTTTGTAGGAAATTATTCAAGATCTTTGAGGTACCTTGAACTATAGGTCCCTGAATTGGGTTAATGATGAATGGTGTGAGACCTGGTTCCATATTCCAACAAGCTAGCTATGATGATACCCAATGACTAAGATGACGTGAGAATGAGTCTTAGGATGGCAAAGCAATCAATTTTTGTATTATGCTGTTGGGTTGGGCCTAGAGCTGTTATGTTCTCTCCCTTTTAATCTGTCTTGGGCTATTTTGTTTAGTTGGGCCTCTTGGTAAATGGAAGGACCGGTTTTATACTATGTGGACCCTAAGTATATAAACCACTTCCGTCTCCAGAGTCTTCGACTGATTCATTCCGAGCTATTTTCGTTAAAACCCTAGATATAGAGAGAGAGGTTGTTCTAGAGTGAGAAAGTGTTTTTTCCGCTGCTGGTTTTCTGCGCGAGAGCCTGAGCTTAGCAAGGACGGTAATAGAAAGAGGAGATTGCTTGAAATCTGAGGAATAGGAGGAGAGTTTGATATGTGGCCCAGAACTGGGAGCCCGACAGTCATCTTCCGAAGCCTTAGGGTTTCGTTCGGTTATCTCTGAACCTTTTTCTGTTATTTGTTTCTTAAATTGATATTCCTGACCGATTGTATGTACTGTATATTGATTGCTTTGCAACCATCTTGATTGTAATCTGTTTGAATTCTGAGCTAGTGGAATATTTGGGACCAGGTTTCCCCTGTTGAAACCCCGCAGATTAGGATGGTTTTCTTCCGAACTGCGTCAACATATCGTGTTTCTTTTACTTTTCTTGTTGCGTTTATTGCATGTGTTAAGTTTGAGATCCGATCTGTTTGACTGTTGGCTTTGATTAGTCTACGAACAATATGATTATGATTGGATAGTGGAGTCATATAAATATAAGACTCCATAATATTTGTCCAATAAAATGTACAATATCAGCTAAAGTCCTTTAGTAATAGCACTTGCTAAACAAGTCTTTTTCTTTGTAAATTGGACAAGTAATAGCATGTGCTAAAAAAGCTCCTGTAATTTTTCAGACAAATGTTGTTTTCACACGTGAGTCAAATTGTGTGTGCATGGACAACTTTTGCTTTCAGAAGAGAAAGGTTTTTCTTACTAACATTTTTTTTCAATTTGGCCGTGTGAAAAATGATTCATTTTACACAAAGGGAAAAAAAGTTTGTGTACATTGTTTGATCAACATGTAAAATGTCGTGCACAACAAACGTGTTAGTTGCTACCATCCGGTGTTAAATTGGCTGGTACTATGAAGGATGACACTCCATCCGTGAGGGCCCTCAACCTCGACCAGACGGTACGTCGGGAGGATGTAAATTCGACTATAATACCAATCCGATAAATAGAGAGTGTGGTTCTGTCCCCGGTACTTGCGGAGGTCCTATGCATTTTTAGGATCGAAGTTGTCGAGATTCGAACCCGTGACGTAACATGTGGCCTTGCATTTTTTTGGCTAGTATCATGTCTACTATCATGTCTACTATCATTTCCAGTATGGTACATAGAAGAGGCACTTGGCTCGTAAATTGGAAGAAAAGTACAAGTAATAAAAATACAGAAAGAAATGGGAAATAAAGGCGGGCCCGTAGGGGCAAGGAGCAACCGTGGCAGGATAATGCCAAGAAAAAGAAAAAGAAAAGAAGAAATATGGGGTGTCGCAATCACGTACGAGCAGTCCTTGGTTGGTTGACTGTGTTGTCGTATTAGACAGATGGATAGATATGGATGGCCTTGTTTGGGCACCCTAATTGGATTGGTAAAGGTAAAGCGATTGATTTTGATTCACACGACGGATCACCGGTAATGCTTCACCTGAACGACTAGACCCGAACCATTTTTGCGCCCCAATCTTAAAAAATGATACGAGTATGTAGTAAGTAGGAAGATGTGGCACAAGAGAGATCTCGGATTCAATATCAAATACTCTCTTTCAAATCAGAATATTTAAAACATGTACATATTTGTATATAAATCTATGTTACAAACGTATAAAACATTTCGTATATACAATCATATCATATTGCATAAATATATATGAATGTCTGTTCATGAACAGTGACAGAGCTAGAAATTTATATTTAAGGAGGTCGAGCCTTGAAAGTTTTACATTGTAGAAGCCAAAATTTAAAATATCAACGTATTTTCTATAGATTCAAAGTATTTATACATAATACTCCTTCCGGTCCCAAATGAAATTCACACTTTCCTTTTTGGGTAGGTCCAAAATAAACTTCACACTTCTTCTCCCTTCATTATTTGGTAAATTATCTACATCAAAACAATGCAAAACAGTGTCAAATAGTGTCAAACAGTGTCACAACAGTGTACTTTACAGTAAAGTCAAATTTATTTCCTTAATTTATGTGAAGTCAAAGTGTGAATTTCATTTGGGACCGGATGAAATATATACGGAGTACTTAATACCATCTCCGTCCCAATTTGTAAGATACTTTACGGTTTACGATGTTTGACCGACGATAAAGCAAATTGATCCCTGTCAACACTCAAATTAGTTTTAGAAAATAAAGTTTACTTATTCAGAAACTACATTAAAATCGCTACAAAACCTGTAAAAAATAATTCAAATTTCATAAACTTTTGATATATAAAGTAAAAGATTAAGAGTGGTTTATGTTGACCAAGTGAATAATAAATGTATCTTTACAATTTGGGATGGAGGGAGTAATTTTTTTGGCCAATGCCCCCTCCAACCCTGTTCATGAATCTTGCACTACCGATTACCGAAGTTGATAGGTAGGTATTTAGCCTATATATGCCCACCCCACATTTCCATCCATACATGCTAATCACTTCATGTGACGTGCATAGTGTAAAGTGAAGAAGAAATAAGAGAAAAAAGGGAAATAAGAATATATCATGAGCTGAAGGGTTTTAATTAGATATGGAGCATGGCTAATTTAATAATTAAAAGTGTCACGTATATGATCTTTTCCTCTTGAAGTAGGCCATCAATAGATTATGTGGGACAATTGGTATGATATGATTAGCTTTTATTGAGTATAGAGACTTATATGGCAATCATTCCATATACAAAAGTTTATGGGATAAGATCCAAACAATTAAACATTATCATGATTTTTATTTCCTAAATAGCAGTAAATTTCTGACAAATTTGGCATTAGCAGGCTTTTAAACATAACATTTTTTCAAACTTGGTAAATTATTCTTATTCAATGAATAAAAAACATAATACTCCTATTTTGCTCTAAAAGTACACATGAGACTGAATCCTCTCCACTACCTGACACTCTGAATTCTGAAATGTCCAAATGTCCAATACGCCTTATACGCGAGAAAAAAAAACACACGTAGTGGAGAGGGTAGCTAGGGTCACTTATGGATGAAAAGAAAAAAGAAAATAAGGAAGAAGAAGAGGATAAGAAATACGAAAATAAGATTAGTTTAATAATAAAGAATCGGATAAAATTGATGAAATTTTGATTGAAACGGTTGAACCATGAAAAATATTGTATTTAAAACATATCCTCTTCATAAAAGAGAGAAAATATTATATGAAAATATTATTAACATAGTACATTAGTACTTTATAACAATTTAAACCAATCCAATCAGAAAAATAATTACACTTTTATTTATTTTAGTGTTACACAATTTAACGCGCAGTTAAATTATATTTAAATAAAAAGTGAGTAATAAAGTCCATAAGTTGAAAATATATGGATTAAAAATAATTGAGAGGAAGTTGAGCTAACATTGTAAATATATACTCGGCATATGTGTAGAATGTTTCAGTCACTTTTTTAAGCTTATCTTAAAATATAGAAACCCAATCATGGTTATTCACCTAGTCATTTAACTTTTGAAAAACCATCAAATAATGTCTTTATCTTCATGTCCCCTTGTATCATGGCAACAAGGTGCCTTTTTCAAGTATCTTTTTTTTTTCTTTTAGTTTATTATCGCTCTAATTTAGTTGTAAAATCGTCAAAGATAACGTCATTCTTGAATTATGATACATTAATACAATAATACAGACGGCTTTGTACAAACATTCATATACACACTTAGGATGAACATGGGTCCCAATAAATTAAATGATAAAGAGTAAGAATATATTTATAATTGGACATAATTCAGTTTCAAACCTAGATCTATATCAATTTGAATGTATACAAATCAGATTAATCATATTTATTCATATCAACTCAACGGACAATTGGATCAAAAAATTAAGTATAATTATAACATTCTAAATTCGTACTCAATTATGTAAACATTAAATTGGAAAATGTTAAACAATCATCCTTCAAAGATTTGATGTGTCATGTTTAAGTTTGATCTGGAACTAAAAGTTGTCCACATAAAACTATCCTAACTCAACACGAAAATTAGTAACAAACTCAGACTCGAAAATTAGCAACGAACTCAGAATATTGTGATGGTGTGTTAAACACAATTGGAGTAAATTAATGAATAACCCGAGACAATAAATTTTGAATTTGCATATTTATATGTGAATGCACTGTGTTTGCTTAACACCCCATCACAATATTCTGAGTTCGTTGCTAATTTTCGAGTCTGAGTTTGTTACTAATTTTCGTGTTGAGTTAGGATAGTTTTATTTGGACAACTTTCAGTCTCAGACTAGATCAAAGCAGGGTCATCGAATGAATTTGAAGGTCTCGGTTCAAAATGAAAAATCGGGACCCCACATTTATATAAACCAAATACTTATACTCAAATTAATTAAATATACTCATTGAAAGAGAATGAACACAGTAAGGACCAACGAGAAAATGATAGATCTATATTTTTTTCTTTACTAGCTAACTGTATTTTACCGATTAGTATTATTATACTCCCTCCGTCCCTTAAAACTTTGCCAAGATTATCGATTAGCATATTATTATATTATTTTTATTATTTATTATTATTATTATTATCATCATCATCGACATAATCATCATCATTATCATTATCATTATCACTATCACTATCATTATCATTATCATTATCATTGTCATTGTCATTGTCATTGTCATTGTCATTGTCATTGTCATTGTCATTGTCATTGTCATTGTCATTGTCATTGTCATTGTCATTGTCATTATCATTATCATTATCAATATCATTATTACTATTATTATTATTATTATTATTATTATTATTATTATTACTGTTATTATTACACTACTTTTATGATTTTTATTATTTATATTATTATTAGAGTTGTTGCTATTATTATTATTGAATAAGCAACATTATTTCTTTTATACTTTAATGACCAGAAAAAACGCATTACACTTTTTAATGGAGTTGTTGAGGTTAAGTCCCGCAGATCCGAAAGCCCAACACGAACTTTGGATATTTCAAGAAATGGTCACGAATTCAGTGTATAAGAAAATATAAAAGATGGATAATATAACGCTCAAAAGCCCACTTGTATTAGATAATTCACTGATTACACAAGAAGTTCCCGAACGGTACGTCGGAATAGTGATTAATACAAGTACAAGAGTAATTAAGCTATTCTAGGCTTTGAGTCTAAAAAATCTAACCCTTTACAATGAAGTTAATCCTTCTATTTATACTAATGGGGGGTATGAGGTGCTTCATGCTGATTGGTTGCTATTCCAGCCACTTGAAAGCCCATATTCCCACTTGTTGCCGCCATCACCTGGCAATATATGCTTCCTACCACTTGTTGGTTGCCCGTTGTCCGAACGGGTAATGGACCCTGCTGGAATTATCATTGATCT